TTACTGTTTTGCTTTTCTTCATTTCGCTGTTCTTAAGCTTTGTTAAAGCACCAGCTCTTCTCAGCACTGGAATTCCTTCTAAATAAGTCCTTTAAAAGTTAACTTTAAATAAATTCTGGTACTCTGAGTTATCTGATTGCACATAAACATAGCAATTTTAAATCCCCAGACTAAAGACAGTGCTGCTATACATGTACCTCGTGATTCGGGACAAACTTTTGCGTAGCAACCATCATCCCTGGAATGGACTGGTTCCTTTGTGCCCTTCTCATCCATTGAAACTAGTGTATTGATGCAAGGTATCTCTTATGTAAGTAAGCAAAAGCTTGCCCCGAATCACGTGGTATAGCAACAATCTCATTAGTATGGAGAATTCAAATTGTTATGTTCACGTGGATTTAAAAAAATCAGTGTACCAGATTTCATTCAAATTTAACTCGCAAAAGGCTTATTCAAACAGCTAGTGTTAACAGGCAATATGTTTTGGACTATTCAAAATAAAGTTGCTTCCTGAGGCATAAGCCTTTATGTTCTTGTGGCCTGTATTTGCCTGTGTAGCCCAGATCTTGCAACAAGCCATCTCTGGAGCTCAGTAAAATACGCTGGCAACTATCGCGAGAGTTACCATCGTGATAACCATAGTTTTTGCTGCGTGCAGGGGTACCCCATTGTCTGTCCATTACCCAGCATGAAACATCGAATTTAGCCTGGTTTCCCCGGAGAGGCGCAGCATCAGCCAATAGTCCTAATGACAGACACAATTATGGAAACGCCTGTTTGAGACCCAATCAGTGAACAAAGGTAAATATCTTGTTCAGACTTCACAGTCTTAATTGTTTCCTATCGACACCACGAAACTTAGCATTGCTGAAACGCACAATCATATTAAAACGCTTTCTTGTGCATGGCTGACACAAACAGGGACGCAAAAAATCGGCACATTTAGATCATGTTCAACTTTGCCAACTCTTGAGCTCATTCAAACACTCGCGCTTGCACGACGGGCATAAAACGATCCCTTATATCTCTTATAGATACCGTACATCGTATATAGAAATGGCACCCCAGCGTTCAACAGTGCTGAGCTGCATGACTTTAAGTGAGATACATCGAACTGAAGTACCAGTTTAGCTTCAACGAATGGTATAACAATCTAATATTTGCAGTTTCGGTTGCCGTATTGTTTCATTTTTGTCGTTTGACTTCAAACACCACCTCTTCAGGGACTGTGTACATCGTGACATCTGCGTACTGTCAGCGTTGTTCAATCTACGGTGGGTTTTAGAAGACATCGTAAATCGTGAACACTGACGTTCAAAATAGAGTCATGACACAAGGCAAGGCCCTACCAAAAATCGCGAGAATTAATTTGTTTGGGATTGATAGTCTTGGCATACAACCATACGACTTAGTTCTTAAGCCCGAGTAGAATATGTCCCTGTGAGTCCGCTTAAGTCAAATAGGGCCTATATGTATCTGAAACGGGGGTGAAGGATTGGGTGCGATGGGGCGAAGGGGGGGGAGATAGAAAAACGCCACAAGCGGTGAGACGAAGGGCTATCTCCGTCCCTTCGTGCACACATTGCTGAAGAGTGGACCTATAGTGCACACGGTACAATAGGCCGTTTGGAAATGTATTGGTCTTTAAAAGGTATGTTGTGCAATGTACATGTACTGTGTATGTACATGTACATGTACATGATTGCACTTGGACGCGTACGCAATGTAGCCGATGCAACCCCGGTTTATCATCCCGTCAGGTACCTAGTCAAGAAAATGTTTTGGCCAGCATCTTTAGCTAGGCCTCCGACTACGTGAGATCACTTTCAAAATAAACCATTTGTTTTTTATGTCGACCAAAAGGTTCATGTTGAACAGAGGCACGTCCTGTTAGATTACTGCTAAACAATCATGAAATACTTTGAAGGAAAAAAAAACCTAATATTTTAAAAGGTTTCACACAAAAAGTTTCATTAAGGGAATGGACATGTGCTTGGCCGGGCTCTGGTGGAGCCCGGCCAAGCACATGTTTATTCCCATTCATAAATACCTCTTTAGTCGAGTCAACCGAAGTCAAAATATGACGGATTTCAACGATTTTGTTATAGAATTTTACTTTCACTTTCCCGAACACCTTTGTCCATTTTATGGTATATTCCCTGCGCAAATCGTCTTGAAGAATCTCCGTATATGAACTTGGCGCACGCGTGGCGCGTTGTATGTGCTGCGTCGCAAGCAGACTCTTGACCAATACGGATGGAGTAAACTGTCACGTGTCCAGGTGCCATAGCGTTTTTTTACACAGTGGACATTATACACATACAGCATGGTGAGGAAGTAGTGGTGTAGGTGCGCGTCGAGAGGTAAAGCTGACTTACACCTTGGTACTAGTATTCCCACTATTTTCCCTAAATAAACCATGCTGTATTTGTTTTACTACATCTTACAAATATTCAATTAAATGTTCAATCCTCCACGTTCCGACTAAGAAACCTCTGCAAAATCCACCTTTTTGGCTTGACAGTATTTTCCAGGAGCTGTCAATAACTTTTCAATAACTACCCTCGTAGATTTTGCATCTTTATTCAGCACAATAAGTTCATGTTCAGATAATTATCGATAAAGACGGAAGTCTAACGTTACTTGTACTCACAGGCGCCATTGTTGTTTCTCAGCTGCTAAATTTTTGTGTAATAGTAGTCGAGTGCAGATGTGCGTAGCAACAGGGCTGCAATAGTCTGGTGCTGACATAAGTTTATTGTCTTTACTGTAATCGTTATTAGGATACAACTCCAGACTGGTTCCTTAAAGACTTCATGACACAGACTGACATAGACTTCATATTTAAGCGGCGGGTTTTTTGGTGCTACTAGAAAAGTATTACCGCACAGCAGCGTGGTGGATACTCACCCGTAAGACGTCACCTGCATACACCAGTGTTACACGCAAGGGAAGCCACAAAATGAGGCTGATCGAACGGTGTAGTGTATTCGCCGAGGCATTCTGGGAAAAAGTTCAAGTCCCCGCCAGGTTCCATCATGCCCGTGCTCGAACAGTCCACCCGTGACGTCATTACACTCGGGGATCCTCCAGAGACCCGCTCGCCAGCTGGGGTAGTGGTGGCTTACACCAGGGCAGACACGAAGATCACGTGGTGGCTAAACGAACGCTCTCGTGTAAGTTTGACTTACACATGTAAGCTAATTGAAACGCACCCATTTCTACTTCTCTGATGCGAGATGGAATTGGCCAATGACGTGTCCGATTTGATCAATATTTATGAGGTGCAGTAATCTCAACGGGCATCTCGGCCGCTGCACCCGGTATACAAACGCGTGCAAGATTTGTCGCTTGAAAGAACGGAGCCAGTGAATGTACACACATCTCAGACGTCATCAGATTTTCTACACCTCCGTTTAAGAGTAGAAGCCGGGCACATGGACTAATATAAATTATGCACTCAGCTTGTGGACCCCTTCCTTGCTAGCACAGTTTAGGCGGCTCCACGTGCCAATTCAAAAAAGCCAATTAGAAAAGAGGCCAAAAATGCCGATTGGTCGATCGTGCCACGTTGAATATGTTGCGTAATAGGTACGGTAGACGCCCATCGATCGATCATGCTTCAAGCCAAAGATACGGGTTTCTTTAATACTTAGTGATTTGTAGAATTAATTGCCATTGGCTGCATATGCCGTTTGCTGGCATGTAGAGAGGTCCTGACTTTTTTTTTTTATATCAGAGCTACACAAACAAATGAAAAGGCAAGAAATGTTCCACCACGAAAGCACGGGCCACGCGTGTTGGCTGGTTCCTGATGTGGGATAAGTGTAATACAATGTACCAACTACCATCTACCTCTACCCAAGTCAAAGTGGCCCCCAAAAGGTGATATATAGAATGCACGAAGAGAGACCAGAGACTTTTCTTTATCTTGGAAAAGAACCCCATGTTGGAACCACACGATGGCAAGTAATGTCCAAGAAAATAGTTCATTACGCCATAATTTGCGGTCTGCTCCACCCATGGGGCATGGCATGGAACTTATTCACACAGTAATTACGTTATCACTGGCATTGTGCCGAAGACCGATGAGCAGGTGGGTTTTCGTCAGTCATCTTTGTTGAAACAGCGAGCCCTCCCAGCGTGCCTCGCTGTATTTGTTTTGATCGCTCACTGTTTACTCCTTTTATATGCTCTCCACATGTGGCAAGCGGCGGCAATACCTTTGCTGAGATTCTGTTCAGGTCCCACGTGTCACCACTGCCCCGCTAAACACTCCTCGAGCTGTTGGGTGCATGAAACGAGACGTCGCGCCGCATCCTCAGCCTGGGGGCCAGGCTTTATTTACATGTCTCCCCTCTCATTGGGCCAGGACGGTGCATAATAAATATAAAAGCATGAATAATTTACCACCGTCAACTCCTTCAGCGCGCACATGGGGTG